CTGAAAGTGCAATTGCAATGTGTCCACAGGTTTACAAGTCTACGGTCATATTTTAGTAAACTAAACAAAGATCAGAACCGCCTTCCCCAATATTGTTTAGAGCCACCTCCGTATGTGCCCACAACTGCTGGCACTGACATTTTTATCCTAAGCAGGCACTACTGTTGCACAGGATACATTAGGTCAGATACTGATTAATCCTACATTTGGCTCATCCTTGGAAATGCTCCTAGTCAAAAAAATCACGAGAAACTGCAAAATTTCTCAGAGCCTTTGTTATGCTAATGTTCACGATGCCTTTTCTGGTGAATACAGGATACGGGCAGGCTCCAGGCAGGTCTTGGAGTATATACTGCTGCCTGGGATGTGTGTTGGGAAATGCTGGGTCTGATAATAGGCTGGAGAGAAGCAATACAAATGATGAAAGAATTTTAAAATTGTACCTACAGTTCGATGTTGAAAAACTATGTGTTTTTCTGTAGGAAGGTGACTAGTGATTAAGAAGAACACAAGCTTCAGGCAAAATAAAGCAAAGCAAAATGGATTCAAATCCCAACTCTACCGCCTCAGAGCTGTACAATATGGGCTATTTAACCAAAATTGGTCTCAGTTTTCTGTCTACCTCAGTAAAGTGAGCCAGGATTACAGGAGATAACATTCAATTGGATCAATTTAGGGTAGTCAGGAGACTGAAAAGACGATGATTATTTTATCCGAGATATTAATAGAGTTGTTTACTGAAAAGTGGAAAGAGGAACATGAGGGTATCTCATAGGCAGCAATGCAGGAAGCAACTACCATCCACAGGGCTGGGGAGACAAAGTGAAGAAGTTCCAATCATAAAAATTTAGAAGTCTGGAGGAGGGGCTCTACAGAGCTGGAATACTCGGACCTCTGAGGATGGGGTGCTGCTGGTGTCCTGAGGCGGGTGGGGGTGAGGAAGCAGGTTCCACTCTGGATTCAATCTTTGCTCCTGGAATCAACCGCCACTGCCAAGGTAAAGAAGGCAGGTTGGGGTGATGTTCACTGGAACAGAAAAGCCACAGGAGACAGGAAGGAGCAGATCTCTTCTTCCTCCTATCTTCCTCTCTCCTTCTATTGCTCTGATTTGCAAAGCCTCATAGGGAGTGGGCTGGTAAAGCATAAGTGTGTTTGCAGAGTCTACCCCAGCATTGCAAAGCAGAGTATAGAAGGGTGGGTTCGGAGCTGGGAGACAACGGCTTGATCGCTGGCACAAATACAAAGAGTTTAGAGTGCAAAAAGTGTAGGGCAGCTAGTCCTCTTCCTAACCTGACCGACTCAGTCCTGTGCTTGGCATATGTTTGCAGAATTTCTGTAGGAATGACTATGAAACAGACAGAAGAGATTAAATGCCTGGAGGTTCAACTAAAAATAAAACAAACAAGGCAGGCTTAACATCACATCCCAAACTTGAAATGCCTAAAACTGAACCCTTGCAACCAATGTTCACAGCAGCCTTATTCATAATAACCAAAAAGCAGACAAACCCAAATGTCCATCAATGGTAAACACAATGTGGTATTGGTATACCTTATACAATGGAATATTTTGGGGCAATAAAAAGAAAAAAAACTGATTCACGCTATAACATGGATGAACCTTAAAAATATTGTGCTAAGTGATGTTTGTGGACAGATACAAAAGGCTGCATTGTGTGATCCCATTTGTGATTCTACATGTGATTTCATTCCATGAAATGTCCAGAACAGGCAACGCTATAGAGACAGGAAGTAGATTGGTGGTTGCCTGGGGTTGGGGAACATGGTGGGGGTTGGGGGTACCTGCTAATGTGCACAATTTCTTTTTAAGAGTAATTAAAACATTCTGAAGTTGACTATAGTGGTGGCTGAAAGACCCTGAGTACATTAAAACTATTGAGTGGTACATTTTGAATGGGAAATTGTATGGTATGTAAACTGCATCTCCATTAAGCTGGTAAAAAGAAAAAGACAAAACAAAAAAAGGCCATGCGGCTGTTGCCTTGTTCCCTAGAACACTTGCTCTTGGAATCCTGAGCCTCCACTTACTAGTAAGAAACTGACTAACCTGAGACCATCAGGCTGTGACAAAGACCAAGCCACATGGAGAGGCCACGTGTTGTCCTAGCTCAGCCCAGCTTTTGAGTCTCCACAGCCCACACACCAAATACATGAGTGAAGAAGCCTTTAGCCCTCTGAGTCAATCTGTCATTTGAATCCCAGGTAGGCCCGACCCCGCTACATCCTATCCCAATATCTGAACACAGATTCTGTGAGCAAAATAAAAGTGGTTGTTTTATACCACTCCGTTTTGAGAAGGTTTGTAAAGGCCACTCTTCTGGTTTTCTTCCTATCTCAGTCTTCTCAATCTACTGGTTTCTCCCAGTCTCCCTGAATGTTGGTCTTCCCCGGTCTGTGCTCACTCCCTTGGCAATCTCATGCAGACTTATGGCTTTAAATACCACAATGACGACTCCCAAATGTATAACTTCAGCCAGACCTCTCCCCTGAACCTCAGATTACTATATTCACCTGTTTATTTGGCATTCCTGCTTGTATTTTTGGAAAGTAACAACTAATCGATATAAACCAACTATTTTGTCTAATAATACATTCAAATGCAATGTTTTTGTTGACATTCTTGCACAAAGTCGCTATTCATTGTTATTGGAAAATTCTGGCATAAGCCTCTAAGAGTCAGTTTGCTTGTTTTTACTTGACTACCTACCAAATCCCTCAGATTTCCAAGGGCAGGAAAAATAATTCTTTCAACTGCAGCAAGAGAAGCTAAGGGCGAGTCATTTTTAAGTTATGAAAAATGATGGGTGAATAAACAAAATGTGCTATATTTACACAATAGAATAATATTCAGCCTTAAAAAGAAATTCTGATACATACTACAGCATAAACCTTGAAAACATTATACTCAGCAAAATAAGCCAGAGAGAAAAGGACTAATACTGTATGATTCCATGTAAATGAGGTACCTAGAAGAGTCAAGTTCATAAATACAGAATACTGGTGGTTACCAGGGGAAAGGGAGGGGTAGTGAGGAGTTATTATTTGATGGGTATAGAGTTTCAGTTTGGGCTGATGAAAAAATTCTGAAGATGGATAATGGTGATGGTTGTACGCCAATATGAATGTACCTCATATTGAATTGTACACTTCAGAATGGTTAAAATGGTAAATTTTATGCTATACTTTACCACAATAAAAAGTTTTGAAAAATGGAGTAAGAGCACAGGTGGACAGTTTAGGTAAAAACAGATCTGTAAAGGGAAGCAGGATGGCTGGGATGGAGGAAGTGATCTCTGAATATTCCCCAATTTACACCAGAAAGTGAGTTTCTCAGATGAACGGTTATACTGGTCGCTAATCACAGAGGGGCTGTGGCTTCTGACCGCCCTGCTTCCGGTGGCAGGGTCAGAACAGGCCTTAGGAATATCTGAGGTGGGATGTGCTCCTAATAAGCTACCAATGCTCCTTTTAGGCACAAATACTTTAAGGCCAGGAGTTTTCCTGATTCTTTGTAGCCCAGATTCCTCAAAGGTATCTGGCCCCAAGAAGGTATTTATTACATAGCTGTTGAATGCAGATAAAAGTTTGATTTGGTTTATAGAATGGAGATTAGGTAATGTCTTTTTGAGAGTGCTATATTTGATTAGAATGAAATGATGTTATGTAAAAACGCTAACACAACGATAAGGCATTATTCTTAATACAAGCAAGATGAAAAAGACTTAAAATTCTCCCTGAATGTCACAGTTTATTTGCTATGATCTGATTTCTTGGTGAGTTGAATGCAATTTCTGCTGAAGACACCTGATTTACCTTTTTCTTCTTAGTCATCTTAGAAAGAGTGGGGGATGGGCCTTTTTGCCCATCAGGTTCCTCAACTCTTCCAAGAATATAACAAAGAATAAACAAAGTAATTTACCATTCTCCACCTCCCCCTGCTCCTAAGGGGCAACTGGGGCCGGCAGCCACCTCTTGCACCTGCTGCCAGCAACGGCCCTTCTCACACCCACTGCCAGCGCCGGCCCCACTCATACCCGCAGCCGGAGCTGCCACTCGCACCTGCTGCCAGCACCCGGCTGTCCCGGTCCCGATTGCTCAGCGCTGTCAGCGGGTACGAGCAGTGGCTGCTGGCCCCGATTGCCCCTGAGGGCTTCTGCACCGCTCCCTGCTCCTGAGGGGCAATTGGGGCAGCAGCCACCGCTCGCACTGCTGCTGGCACTGGCCCTAGTAGCTCCGCGCCATCAGCAGGTGTGAGTGGGCCCAGTGCCATCAGCGCGTGTGAGCGGTGGTGGCGGGAGCAGGGGTGGCAGGAGCAGGGCTGCCGGCAGACAGGGGACTGAGAGCTGTGGCAGGAGGGGCTGGGCGGGGGCATGAAGGATAGGCTGAGACCTCACCCTGTGCCCACAGCAGCCTCGCGGCCCACAGTTCCTTTCAAAGTGCACGAATTCATGCACTGGGCCCCTAGTTTGTAATAAAAACAAACTAGAAGAAAATAGTCATGTGTTTCTGTTAGTGGTTTTTCTGGCTCTAAATCCCTCCAGTTTTGGATGGATTTGCTGTACAGGAGGAAACCTAAGGTAAGGCACTGAGAGTCTCACAGATCTTCCCTGGTAGGCCACAGCCTGCTAATCTAATCCTATTTGGCAGTAAATTTAATTATCCGAGAAATGTTATTATTCTTGTTTTATATATCTGCTTCCTATAAATGAGCATCATTTCAATCTAGGACACACTGAGAACAGTCAAGAATTGTATCTTGCATTTATAATTTAAGAAGCTATATTTAAAAATTACGGCTTGTGTTTATGTGGCTATAAGAAAAATTAGAAACCAAACAGATGGATATTTATAAAAACTGCTATTTCAGGAAAGGACTTAAAGTTAGAAGCCCTTTCCAACTCCTCTGTAAACTAGGGGACATACAATTACTTTAAGAATTCAATTTTTCCCCAATTGCACCCTAAATTATGGCAAAGGAAAAACATTCAGAAAAAGACTTTTACTTACTCAAATTTGAGATGGATTGCTTTTTTGGAAATTTTCTAATTAATATTACATGAAATCCCATAGCTGATAAAAGGCCAGACATTTGCTTTCTTCTCGAGAGCTGAATGCATTTTTATGTATAACACAGATGGTATTCCAGCATTTACCATATGGAACAGGACGGAATAATTAAGTTTCATCATCCAGGTACCGTACAAATATGAAGTTAAAATAGAATTGTCATTGACAGTCAACACCGTACATTCCATGTTATGATTAATTCCAAGAACACAAACTTCTGCGTCTTGAGTGGTAATTGTACTTTTCAGTTGTAACAACATCCTCAGAGAGTTTTCAGTTTGTCTTTATCTTGCTCCTTTTGACTGCGAAGTGCAAACGACTCCTGAACGAACTGCCTGCACATGGGGCACCGCTGGAAATACCTCACACAGCCATCGCACAAGCACGTGTGCCTGCAGGGCAGGAGCACCCAGTTCACAGTCCCGTTCTGGCAAACAACACAGTCCTTGCTACTCTCCTCCGGAGGCTCTACGTCACTTTCAGAAAGTCCAGCCTTTTCCAACAAGCTGCGGTCTGTGCTTTCACCGTCTGGAGAGGAATTGCTGGGAGGAGTGGCATTATTATTTGCAGACATGTAAAGTTGCTGAAAAAATCAAAGAAACAAGTTTAAAGATAATTACAAATGTCAATTACTCTTCAGAGGGTCATAAGAGATGCTCAAAATTTATGAGCTGGCAAATAATAGCTAACTTCTATGGGAACTAACTGTAAAAATATATCCCTTGATAAATGGTCATTCTTTGAAACTGCAAATGAGAAACAAAGATAAGACTACAAGGGTACAACTTACCTTAAGATCATGAAATTGACCTTGAGTCGGGAGTAAATATTGACATAATATTCTACAGGACAGTTTATAAGTTTTATCAGGAATATGAATTACTGACACCATGGAAATCTAAAATAAAAATTGAACACCGGTCAGTACTTAACCTCTTTATATTATTTCACAGATATGTGAAAATATGTCTCAAACAAAAATAAGCTGATAAATTAGAAAACTTACAATAATTTATTCAAATCAGTCACTATAGAGAAACCAGTTACTGACATGTTTTTTCCAGAGTTTTTAAAAATTATACTAGTTTACAAATTTAATGTGATCCCAACAAAATAGCTGAGTTGACTCTAAAATTCTCAACATGGGAAAATAACACATAAGAACAGCTGGGAAAATACTGAAAAGAAAGCTATGGGGTAGAGGATATTAAGCACAGTCAGATATTAAAACATACTGCCATGCCTCTAGAGCTAAAACAGTGTGGTACTAGCACATGGATAGACAGGTGTCTGAAACAGAATAAACCGTCCAGAAATCATATATACAAATATGATAAAAATGGCATTTCAAATCACTGGCAAAGCGAGTCTTTTTAATAAAAAGTATTAGGACAACTGAATAGCTACTTGGAAAAACAAAAATTAGATGTACTCCTCATACCATACACAAGAATAAACTCCAAAAGCATAAGAAATCTAATAGTAAAAAAAAACAACTATACAAATACTAGGAGAAAACATGTGCATTTCTTTCTAGTCTCAATGTAAGGAAAGACTTCCTAACTGTAACTCAAACCTAGAGGCAGATCAATTTGACACATTTGACTATATAAAAATTAAAAACCTGCATAATAAAAAAGCACCATAAGCAAAGTTAAAAGACATATTAGCAAGCTGGAATAAAATATTCGCAATTTATGTCACAAACTAAGGGCTAATATCCCTAACTTATGAACAACTTTAAAAATTGAAGAGAAAGTAACCAAATATCTCATAGAAAAATGGGCAAAAGACATGAATAGACCATTCACAAAAGATATAATCATGGTCCTTAGCCATATTAAAAGATGTTCAATTTTACTCACAACATGATAAATGCAAATCAAAAATTTACTGAGATATTTCTCACACATCAGATTAACAAAAATGCAAAAGCTTGTCAATACACTCTATGGAGTAATAATCACACTCATATATGGTGGAAATGTTAAAAAAAAATAAATTTCAGCCCTGGCTGGTGTGGCTCAGTTGGTTGGGTGTCATCCTATGTCCAAAGGGTTGCCAGTTTGATTCCTGGTCAGGGCACATACCTGGGCCAGGGGTGTGCAGGAGGCAGCCAATCAATATTATGCTCTCACATTGATGTTTCTCTCCCTCTCTCTCCCTCCTCCCCCTCCCTCCCTCTCTCCCACTTTCTCTAAAAGTCAATGGAAAAAATATCCTCAGGTGAAAATTAATAACAACAACAACAAATTACATATATAAAGATCTGGAAAGATACAAATATTCACAGTGGTTATATTTGGATGATAGAATAAAAGTGATTATACTTTTTTCTTTTGGCTTATCTAGAATTTTCTAATGTTATTTCCTGCCATAAGCATATATTCTATGAGTAATACAAAAAACAAACTGATATAATTATGTAAAAATGAAAAAGTTTTAGAGCCAAAATCTTGCAATAACAATCCCTGCTTTCCTTTATCTACTTATAATAACAAACTAATGACTAGCTATATTATCTAAATGTAATTTTTACTGTTACAATAGGAATGGGAGAGTTTAATTTTCTCTTTTTAGATTTAGAGTCTCTGATTCCCAGATAAAATACTGAAAAACCATTTATGAAAAAGAATTATGAAATGCTCGGTTTGCTTTTAAAATTAAGAACAGAGAACATGCCCTGGCTGGTGTTGCTCAGTAGTTAGAGTGTCAGTCTGAAACCAAAGGGTCAGGAGTTTGATTCCAGGTCAAGGGCACGTACCTAGGTTGTGGGTTTGCTCCCGAACCCCCAACCAGGGCACATGAGGGAGGCTACCAGTCAACGTGTCTCTCTCACATCGTTGTTTCTCTCCCTCTCCCTCTCTCTCTCCTCCTCTCTCTCTCCTACTTCCTCACTCCCTTCTAGTCTCTCTGAATGGCAATAGAAAAAATATCCTCAGGTGAGGAGTAACAAGAAAAACAAACCAAAAAAGAACAGAGAACATTATTATAAAATATACTAACAATTATACTTTAGTTCTACCATTAGGCCCAATCTGGGAGATAAGAGATGGGAGAAACAAGGTTTAACAGAAAAAAAAGGGGAGAGCCTGCTGATAAAAAACACAGAGAAGGACCAAGGCAGGGAAACATAGGCAAAGAAAATAATTGTTAACACTTTAGGGCCAGGGCCCAGGCGCCCTGTGGGAATAAGCCGTCCACAGCCACAGCAGGGCCGTGGAATCTTCATTCCAATTGGGTCAGGGACCTGATAAGCAAATCTTTCCCTATTTATAATGCCACTGTACACTGGAAAGTGGTTAAAACAGCATTTAAGTTATATGTATGTTTTAGCATGCACACACCAAATCCTTTTCTATTTAGATGGAGGAAGAAAAGTCAGAAAACAAAGACTATCGGTACCTCACGTAGATAGAAAGCACCAACCCAGTGAGAAGGAAAGGAACCAAAGGGGAAGCTGCGAGGAAGGTGACTGAGAACTGACCCTTTTTTGCAATAAAAGGAAAGAACTAGGGGAACTTAGACGAGATCAGGAAGGCAGGGGTATGAAACACCAACCTAATAGGTCTTATTTATCTTCAATTGAAAAGGGGGTGGGGGAGAAACCAGAAGATCTCTCATATACACTTCCTCATGCACGTGCAACTAAGGAGTTCTGCTGCCGAGCTCTATGAAGCTCAACAATACTGCTTGGTATGACTTTTCCCACGCTGATTAAATGTAGTGAGCACCTCCTGTGTTTAAGGCACAGTGCCAGATTCCGAAAATAACTGCTGTTGGTATGTCTTTTATTTGGAAAAAAACAAGCTGATTTCAGTTCAATGGAACTTCAACTTGATAAGGTTAAAACCCCAAAACCTAGATTGGCTTAACTGCATATGAACAGGGTCTACATTTCCCAATAAGGGTCTAACACCTTCCAAAGCTCTATGCGCACTTGTTTCAGAAAGATATTCCTGTAAAAAAGAAAGGGAGGAAGAGCTACTGGCAAAGAACTACACAGGTTCAGGGTCAAGACCATCTCTTATTTCCTGAATGATTGGGATTTTTCTACCAACTCTGTTTCAGTCCTTTTAAGAAGGATATTTGCCTAACACAATGTTGTTAGAAGAAATAAATAAGTTAATGTTACTTAATAAGTTAATATATTACAAAGTACCATAAAGATGCTACCATTTCTTTATTAATGAACATATCTATATCATGCACTTCAGAAAAGTAGTAAATTGCGTATAAGGGCATTCTTACCATGATACTATTTCACCAACTTTATTTCATGTATAAGCTTCTACCATACTTAGAGGATTGTCAAGGCTCAGGTCTTCTTAGCTCCCTAAGATGCTTTTATCTTTCTAATAGGGATAAACTACCAGACTAAAGAAGTAATTAGTATATAATGAGAAAGGTAATTATCACTATAATTACTGAAAATATAAGGACCAAACATATATAAGATATAGATGCAGCAGACACTATGATCAAAACAAGATGACTGTAAACATGCAAAGAAAAGAGTGGATACTGTCTTAAAATTGAGCATTTTGTTTCACTACTACAATGCTCATTTATTCAGTGCTCAAAAAAATGTTAAAAATAAAAATGTCTCCCAACAGACTTTTCTATGCAGCAAACATGACAGAATGATGAAATTAACTTAATTCAAACATAATGTAGCTTTTATTTTCTAAATAAAATCATATTCTTGTAACCCATATGGGAAAAAAAGTCGTACTCTAAAGGAACTGTTACATGTATAAAAATCATACCGATGTATTTCCCATGTATTTATTTATTTTTTTGTGGGGGGGGGAGGGGAATGTGATCAGGTCAAATGTATACCCTCAGAAATTAAAATACTTTTTCTACATTACCAAATAATTAAGACCTATTATCCAAATCACTTAAAAGTAATGCTTCCAAAACTTTAAAATTACTTACAATATCATAAATTTCTCGGTCATCCTCATCAGCTAGGGTCAACAGTGCTACCAATGGATAGCGAGATCTGGGCACTGTCCCAAAGTCTTCAATGTTAGTATCTTTTGGTAACTGGCAATATATTTCTTCTTTGCTGTCCTTTTTAATACTTTTTGAAAATGTAAAGGTAAATTGTCACTATAAGCAAAAATACAATAAAATACCAAAGGGGGTCGTAACTTAGCAACACTTTATCCATAAAAAGTCTAATGCCTAAAATTCTCATGTCCTGATAGATATAAGATAAAGGATACAAATACTGTTCTCGATGGAGATATTCGCTATACAAAGCATCTTCCAGTGCTTGGGGAGTGCTTATTCGGAAGCAATAAACGTGCTTCTGCAGAGCCTCGTACAATTTTTGAACACTGCACCCCCAGTAGCATGTGAGGAGGCTATCTTCAAGGCAATCTGTTGTCAAAGTTATGCCAGCTATAAAAAACAAATAAGACAGAGAAGAAAATTACCTGACGTAATTTCTAGTACAATTATACATAGCGAGTAATAAAAGCTTCTTTTTGGATGCTGGCCAGGCTGCTGGCAGTTAAAGGAACTCATTAAAGGGTATGTGCCTATAAACGAAGGACCTGGTCTCTAAAACAGGAGATATAAAAAACCTCAGTGTCTACACAATTTTGAAGCACTACCAGTAAACCTGATTATTTATACATTTATGCTTGGAAGTGATCAATTTAATGTTTTTGGTGACTTCAAGACTTTTCCCACAAAGATTTTACAAACTGCAATACAGTTCACTATTGGTAGCCTACCACTCTAATAGTGTCTACAATCCTAAAAAAGAAGATCCGCACAACCTTGCAACTACAAGCAGCAGAGCTCTCTCTGAAAGTGGATACACGCCACCCGCGGCCCCACAAGATGATCACTGGAGTAGGACAAATATTAAAAAGAAACTGAGCTTTACTAATATCAATATACACACTGACAACATTAATATACATTCTTGTCACAAAGTTAATGTCCCATGTAATATGCAAAATATCCTGAGGAAAGCCTGGGGATTCCAAAACATGGAAGTTTAATAGTGATGTCCTCCTTCATTTGTTTGCTTTCAGCATAATAAAAGATATTATGATTTGAGTAAAGCCGATTAAGGGGACATATAAATTATAAACGGACAAATTATAATATATAGTTTTATTTACTTACTTATGGATTTACTATATGCCACCTATGCGATTTTCCCCCTCCCTTGTAGCAATAAGTTCAAAGGCAGCAACATCCAGTGCCTCACATTGTCGGCAGCGCAAGCGCTCGCTCAGTGGCAGTGGAGTACTTGCTAAATCAAAAGGAAACGTTTTTGGTCATTGTGAGGCAGGATAGGAAGAAGCTGGGAAAATTCCTTGACAAGTGGAATGAGGGAAACTGAAACAAAATAGTTAAACAAGGCTGAGCAACTAGCCTGCTAGTAAATCACAAGATCTTGTCTTCCCTAACCAAGGACACTTAGGAGCAGATGGTTTATACCTCTCCTCCTCAACCAGAGAAAGAATAGCTTAAACCACCCAAACTCCAGAATGGATGAAGGAAGGGGAATAAATAACAACAACAACAAAAAAAATAGAGTCAGACAAATCCAAGATAAAAGTAAAGCAGTGAAACTGACCATAGAATGATCCCAAACTCCCCTACAGGCTCATTGTGATGCATCAGCATATTAAAGGACACACCTGGAAAGCTGCTGAATATTCTATTGAGACCCTCCCCTGAGACCTCCCCTAAAATTCCCTTTAGAAAACAAATAAAAACCCTTAAGACAAAAGGCCCAGTCCTCTCGCCTGAGCACTCCCGTACCATTTCTTCAGGCATGTCCTTTTACTTTCTTTCCCCTTAGCTCGAAAGGTTTCCAGGAAACTTGCAATCAGGTGAGCAATGGGCAGCAGCAACTAGTCCTGGGCTAACCCTGTCAACTGTCTCCAAGGGCCCTATTTTTGCCTCTATGTCTTTCTTTCCTGAGTCCACACAGCCCAGCATGGCTCACTTCTGTTCCTATAATTTGTTTCCTGAAGCCAGCCGGCCCCACATGACTCAATTTTGTTACTGTGACCTTTCCTGTATCCAAACAGCCCAGAGTGGCTCAATTCCATTACTGTGACTTCCTTTCCTGAGTCTAGGCAGCCCAGTGTAGGCCCACTCCTGTTGTTGTGATCTTGGGTCTTCTATCTTAAGCCTATCCTTTGTTTCACTGCTCCCAACTTTAAGAAAGGTACTCTCAAAATCATCTGCACTCATGTTGTGAACTTTTTCCTACACAAAGTCAAGAACCCACACATTCCAGACCATGCCAGGGCAGATCTGCTTCGGTCCCGGTACTTTCAGTGACAACTGTTCCTGACTGAACAACCTTGGTCTCTGATTCTGGCTTTCCAAACCTACTGGCAAGTCTGTATACTATTCAATATCCTCCCCTCCCCCCATTTTATTTATTTATTGTTGACAGTATTACAGATGTCCCCCATTCCTCCGCCCTCAATATCCTTTTACTGGAGTCGTTTCTGTTGCTTGCTAATAGGAATTCTGGTTAATATATTACCTACTTTTAAAGGTGCTCATCAGAATGTGTTGGAAGGAGATACACAAATACAACCAGATCATCCACAGGATGCCAAATATTGTACTAAGTACAAAGTGTCAGATTCTGAGTATGTATAGTAGCAGTGACATAGAGCAATTTCTAATCACAGTTAAGCAAAAATTTTAATTGACAGAAACTTTACATACATAATTGATACCAGATTTGATTGCACATTTTTATGATTCTATCAGGTATTAATTCAATTAGCTTTATTTTTCAATTAGCTGTTAAATAGCTGAAGAAAATCACTCCATTAATACAAATTTAAAATATATGTATTAAAAATCATACATAATTTTCTCTGTCACTTTAGAATCACACAAAGTGAGGCAAGAAAAAAAAAGTTGGAAGTAGATGGGAAAGGGGAAAAAATTTAAAGCCTACACAAAAAGTGGAGGTGACGGGGGGAAGAACCCAGAAAAGTATTACTGGCAAAAATGTAAAAAGATGTATAAATAGGCTATTCATTGTAGCACTAGTTATATCAAAATGCTGTACTCCACCTAAATGTTCATCAATAGGAATTAAATTAATAAAATATGGAATACTCTCCAATGAAGTACTAGGAAGCTCTTTAAAAAAATTGAGGCATACCAAAATATCTGTATACAGTACTACTGTGGAATGAGCTTCAGAATATACCATTAAATGAAAAAAGCAAGGTGTAGAAAATATCACATTGTGGGGCAAAAGATGGTTTACAGTTGTGAGTACGTGAAATAGAGTTTATTCTTGTATTATTATTTATTATTTATTGTATTATTTTCCATATGAACAACTGTAAACCCATTTTTCCCCCACTCTGTATATAGTATGCTACTGTTTATCTCACAGGAGAGGATATCCAAATATATGTGTTTGTTTACACTAAAGAAAGAACAATGGAAAGATAAGCCTTAAAAAACAACTCCGCTTTACACAACATACATAGTATCAGTCTAACTGCTTTGTAAAAAGAATCAGAGTTCCAGACATTCAGAGCTAAATAAAACTTGTTTATAGACTTTGTATACTTGACTAAAATGGGGCACATCACAGACTACTGATAATGATATTAATCAGATTTTAATATGTCTCTGATATTAATATCACAAGCAAATGAAAAAGAATTACAGAATCTATAAAACTCTGCCCTCCACAATCTTTCATAAACTTAGGATGAGGAGAATATATTGATTTACACTAAGCGTTCAAACACCCTTAGACCAAACTATTCTCCCTTTAGTTTTTATCACTTCTTCTGCAAAGACCCTTATATTCATTCCCATTCTTATATTTTTTTAGTTTTCTAAAAATTCGGTGCGTACACTATAACATCTTAGATCAACAGCATTAACAGAATTGGAAAATAGACATAATCCAGAATATGCAGAATCCAAATGAAGCAACCTAGGTAGGATTTCTCTCAACCTGCCTACCTGTAACAACCAAATAAAGAGACTGTAAAAGATGGTCTTGCAAGAAATTTAAAAAAAAAAAAACAGGCTATAGTCAAATGAGTTGAGCCATTAATAAAAGGAGAAACAAGGGGGCAGTAAAGCCGCACACCTTCCTACAGAAAAGTCTGTGAGGGAAGAACTAATATACAAGGAGCCCCTGCCCGAGGATGATGAAACCAAAATACTGGGAGATGAAAATTTTGGTCGTAAGGAACAGAAGCTCACAAATTCCTCCAAAAATGCTGTGTCATTTTGCTTAACTCTTTTGCTTATATTGGCTCTTTCCAGGGTGAATAAGTCAAAATACCAGAAAGCTGTTTACAAAAAGACAGCAGAATCCCTGAATTGAATTAATACAACACAACTAATATGTCCTGAGTACCTACTTTCAATTTCATTAAAACCTCTACATTGAGGACATGGAAACATCATAAATCCAAATACAGTATCATTAGAGAACAACAAAAAAATCCCCAAAACCCACCTCTGGTAAATAGAACTAAATGACTAAGATTAAAACTAATTCTCCAGCCCTAGCTGATTTTACTCAGTGGATAGAGCATCAGCCTGCGGACTGAAGGGTCCCAAGTTTGATTCCAGTCAAGGGTACATGCCTGGGTTGCAGGCTCGATCCCCAGTAGGGGGTGTGCAGGAGGCAGCCTATCAATGATTCTCTCTCATCATTTATGTTTCTATCTCTCTCTCCCTCTATCTTTTTCTCTGAAGTCAATAAAAATATATTAAAAACAAAACTGATTCTCTGGTTAATTTTCAAGTAAATCAGTTCTCTATATGTTCCCTGTCCCTCCCCTATGTGCCAGGCACCTTGGGTATAGTGATTTAATAAATAAAACAAAACAAAAAAACAAACAAAAAAAACCTGGATTTTTTAACTATTTATACACCAAAAGAAATAACTTTTTAAAACATCACAATTATTGTTCAGAATATTATTTCAATATCTTGGTTAGACATCTTTTTTTTTTTTTTAAAATATATTTTATTGATTTTTTACAGAGAGGAAGGGAGAGAGATAGAGAGTTAGAAACATCGATGAGAGAGAAACATCCATCAGCTGCCTCCTGCACATTTCCCACTGGGGAAGTGCCCGCAACCCAGGTACATGCCCTTGACCGGAATCGAACCTGGGACCTTTCAGTCCGCAGGCTGACGCTCTATCCACTGAGCCAAACCGGTTTCAGCTTGGTTAGACATCTTTAATGACACCCATCATTCCACAGTTTAAGCAAATGAATTTTATTCTGCCAAATAAAGAATTCCCACCGAAATTCTTCTCCTTATTTCCCCATAGAAGACAGATAATGAGTAATGTGCATTGGTATTTAAAAATTAAAATACTTGAATAAGCACGCTATAAGTACACACATTTAAAATGTTCTTCGTGTACTTCAGTAACGCTACTGTTGGTTAGCATATAGTGTGTTGGGCATAGCTGAGAGGTCCAGCTTCCAACATTTACAGGGCAGGCGCTATTTAGGACTATTTCTATCTTAATAACGGCAGATTGATCGATTTCCTGACACTTTCTAGTTCACAAGTGTCCGGTGTTTGTTTGCTCACGATGTATCCATTCTTACTTTCTCAGTGTCTCCAGGCTTTGGACCTATGCTGCAGGAAGAACCACTCTGTACTAGAATTTTTTACAGGCAGTCCTGCTCAGGAGCCAGATGTGACAATATAGCAGGCCCAAGTGCATGGCCACAAAGGTCAGAGATCACCAAGCCACCTTATTCTGTACATTTTATTCAGGCATGTTTCCTAAATAAGCTAGTCTTCTCTGTCATATCTTGAAATTTGGCTTTCCCAAGTGAAAAATGTCAGAATGAACTCCTTATCTACCACTAGTGGGGGGAAAAAAAAGGTCCTTAGTTTCCTTCAATTCATAGGGGTTATTATATATACAGAGTGTCCCCAAAAATGTATACACACTGTAACAACTGATAGCTCAAGTTTGAAAATGAACTATTTTTTAATAAACACTGCCTTCAAAGTGTGTGTATACATTTTTTGGGACACCCTATATACACACACATACACAGTATAGTATTTACAGCTAAGGAAGAAGATAAGAAACTCTGTCCTTCATTGTAAATCAAGATTTACTTCAGGTTGATAGTGTAACTAATTTTTGACAAGTGATTCTGAAAGTCAGAGGCAGGAAGATGACTAGACAATAAAGTTCACAGAAGATAAGGGAGCAGGATGTCAACAAGGAAGGACTAGTCAACTCTGTTAAACTCTGCAGAGAGAGCACTAACTCAGGCCTGAAAATGTGCCCAGTAAATTTATGACTGCCAGGAGATAGGGGTAGGGGGCAGAAGTGTTAATTAGTCATCTTGGGGAAAGCCATTTCAATAGAGGGATACAGGTAAAAATCAGACTACACTGCTCCGAGGAGTAAAAGGGAAGCAGGCTAAGAGGAGAAGGCAAATGCAAATCACTTTTAAGAAGCCTGGCTATGGCCTTGCTGGTGTGGCTCAGTGGTTGAGCACTGACCTATGAACCAGGAGGACACGGTTCAATTCCCGGTCAGGGCATATACCCAGGTTGTGGGCTTGATCCCCAGTATGGCACATGCAGGAGGCAGCTGATCAATGATTCTCTCTCATCATTGATGTTTTTCTCTCTCTCTCTCTCTCTCTCCCTTTCCCTTTTTCTCTGAAATCAACAAAAAATATATATATATTTTTTAAAAGCCTGGGTGTGAAGAGAAAAAGAGAAATACGACAGCAGCTAGAATAAGATGAAGAGCTGCAAAAATTTAGGATTGTTTTTAAGATACCAGAAATGTGAGCAAGCGTAAAAGGTGATAGGGTCTCAGCCCAGAGAACCTGGTAGAGCTACAGAACTGTACCTAGAACTGCATGCTCTGTGTCTCTGCTTAACTGTCACAAAAGCACTTACAGGGCCAGAAGTTCAAAATTGAATTCATTACCTTTCTTCCCAAACCCGCTTCCTCCTGTATTTCTCATCTCTGTAAAAAGACCCAGCTATGGAGGACCCAAGCAAAGAATTTGAGTCTTCCCTGACTCTTCTGTCTTGTCTGTGCCCAGCATCCCCTCTCTTTCACTCCACTGGCTCCTAGATAGGCTCACAGACAATTTGTTTTCCAAGTACAGAAACAAACAGCTACCATCTATTATTACCATCTACCAAAATAATTTTAGACCAAAATACCGCAATTTCTGACTAACAGACAGCTGTTCTTCAGAAGGTGAGCAACCTTATATTAACTGAACTTACACTATACCATTCTTACCTTTCTCACTGCACTGAAGACTTCTCTTATTAACACCTGTGATACTTCATTTTAGTGTAAATAAGCACATGTATTTGGATATCCTCTCCTGTGAGATAAACAGTAGCATACTATATACAAGGTGGGGCAAAAATGGGTTTATAACTGTTCATGTGGAACATAATACAATTAATAAATAATAATACAAGAAAATTAAAGGGCTAAAACAGGGGCAGAGAAAGAGAGAAGAATCTTTGGAAAATAGCTACCAACTTGAAATCGAAGCTGAAGATGGATTAGCGATCTCTAAGCCAAAAGGATTCTTGACTTGTCTCATTTGCTTTTTGAAAACTCTTGTTTTGAACTGGGTCTCTTCAGAATTTCTCAGAATTACTGGAACATCCCAACCAAACCTGAAGGTGAAAATAAAATAATACATTATTTTAACAAATGTTGAAACTTTATGTTATATGTAGACTATGTTATGCTTCATTAGTTAATCCTCTTAACATATCAGAAAAGGAGATTTACTCAATTTACATTATATTTGAGAATTAACCTAGAAATAACAGAGATTAGAGGTCCCCTAGAACTGCAATATATTGTTAAGCTGGTTGAACCGACATATTCTTGAAACAGAGTTCTATTGTTAATAACAAAGAAGTATACGGATTATAAATTGTACCTAATGTAAGAGCAAAAGCACGATAGAATTATTAAATTTTTAAATGGCATTATAGACAAATACATGTATTTTTAAAATATATTTTTACTGATTTCAAAGAGGAAGGGAGAGGGAGAGAGAGAGAAAGAGAGAGAGAGATAAACATCAATGATGAAAGAGAATTACTGATTGGCTACCTCCTGCACACGACCTACTGGGGATCGAGCCCGCAACCAGGGTATGCACCCTTGACCGGAAATGAATCTGCAGGCTGACGCTCTATCCACCGGCCAAACTGGCTAGGGCGACAAATATATATTTAATATGCAGACTATTTGATATTATTTATGGGATAAGAGAACTTTTTTAAACACCAAATATAGCCCTTCATTTTATAGCATATTTTCTCCTTTTAAAGTTCATGTAAAAATGTGATACTGAACAGACTTAGAAGGAAAATGAAAAGGACTAAATTCAATTATTTATAAAATTAGAAAGCAGCTAAGTTTACTCAATTTAAATAAAATAACTGAAAATGAATACACATTAGTTTAACCAAGAGACTTTAGATTAAGCAGGCAGTTAGGTTCATACTTGGATGCACTCTCTTCTCTCCAAACACTTAGTAGTGACAGATAAAAAGTAAAGAAAAATCAAAAAGACCCTGCTGAAATGAACAAATAAACTGTGTTTAAACAAAGGAACAGAAGAACTCAGCAATGAAAAGGAATAAATTATTGCTATGACCATATGGATAAATCTCAAAAACAACATATTGCGCAAAAGAAGCCATGCTATGATTCCATAACGTGAAATTCTAGAGTCCATAAAAGTAATTGAGTAGAAATAAAAAAACAAAACAATGGTTGCTTCTGGGGTGTAGGAGTATGGGCTGACCAGGAAAGCGATAAGGAAACTTTCTCTGGTGATGGTAATATTCTATATCTTGATAGAGGGTTGAGTTGTATAGATGATGTGTTTGATAACACTTAAGATATGCACATTGCCAAAGCCGGTTTGGCTCAGCGGATAGAGCGTCAGCCTGCGGACTGAAAGGTCCCAGGTTCGATTCCGGTCAAGGACATGTACCTGGGTTGCAGGCACTTCCCCAGTGGGGGATGTGCAGGAGGCAGCTGATGGATGTTTCTCTCTCATCGATGTTTCTAACTCTCTATCTCTCTCCCTTCCTCTCTGTAAAAAATCAATAAAATATATTTATTTCATTGTTTATAAATACTACTTCAAAAGTAAAGTACAAGTGGGTGAAGAGTACAAGTTATTCTGAAAGTGATCAACAAATAAGATGGACTGATGGGTGGATGGAAGGATGGATGGATCAGGACAGACATGTAATAAAGACATTACAGCAAAAGGTTGATTTGGAACCTAAATGATGGGCATATGCATGTTTACTGTATAATTCTTTCATTGTATGCATGTTTGAAAATTTTAATAATAAAATGTTGGAAAGAAGAGGCATAGTTGGGTTCAAAGACATCTTCATAAATTTGAAAAGGGCAAAAAATATAAAGTGATGAGTAAGGCTTATGCCATGGTTTGATGGGCTCTGAGTCTGGCAGTAGGCAGTGGAAACTAAGCCTTCACATACAAGTTGTCCACTCATGACAAGGGCCAGAACCAGGTTCACAACTTGAATCCAGGCAGTGGGTTAGGTCAGTGATGGCAAACCTTTTGAGCTCGGCGTGTCAGCATTTTGAAAAACCCTAACTTAACTCTGGTGCCGTGTCACATATAGAAATTTTTTGATATTTGCAACCATAGTAAAACAAAGACTTCTATTTTTGATATTTATTTTATATATTTAAATGCCATTTAACAAAGAAAAATCAACCAAAAAAATGAGTTCGCGTGTCACCTCTGACACGCGTGTCATAGGTTCGCCATCACTGGGTTAGGTCAATGTCAATATGGGACAGAACTGTCATTGTAAGACCCGGTCCTTTACTAGGGGAGGGGGCTGTCTATAAATCTGGATGTAGGTAATTGTAAAATGGTTAAAAGAGGTCCCCAGTTCCATCTCAGGTCAGAGCACATGCCTGTGTGGGCTCAATCCCCGGTAGGGGGTGTGCAGGAGGCAGCTGATTGATGTTACTCTCTCACATCCATGTTTCTCTCTTTTCCCTTCCTCTAAAATCAATAAAAACATTTTTTTTTAAAAAGCTGAAAAGCAAGCATCGAACAGATCAAATTGTTTCCAATTAAGTTAACTGCATCCCAAAACAAAGCTCAAGAATATTTATATGAATAGAGACATCTACATCAGCCCTGGCCAGTGTGGCTCAGTTGGTTGGGTGTTGTCCTGTGCACTGAAGGGTGGTTGGTTCTATTCCTGGTCTGGGCATGTACACAGGTTTCAGGCTCAATCCCCAGTAGGGGGCGTGCAGGAGTCAGCCAATCAATGTTACTCTCTCACATCGATGTTTCTCTCTCTCCCTCTCTCTGTAAAAATCAATAAAAAATCTTTAATTAAAAAAAAAAGGAAACAAACATCCAGCATCAGATAAGGTAAAATGCACAATGTTTCGTGTTCAATTAAAAATTACCAGGCATGCAAAGAAGCAGGAAAATATGACCCACAATGAAGAGAAACTAATCATAGAAATAAATCCCCAAAAATGACACAATACAGATACCAGAATAAGTAGACAAGGACATCAAAATAATTGTTGTAACTATACTTTTTAAAGAAGATAATAAAGATTGAGCATTTTATACAGAGATATGGATTATAAGGTCCAAATACATTGCTGAAGATGAAAAATATGTTTGAGATGAAAAATACACTAAATGGGATTAATAGCAAATTAGATATTACAGAACAAAATATTAGAAAATTTGAAGATCTAGCAACAGAAGGTATATAATATGAAACACAGAGGGAAAAACAACAAAACAAAATATCAGTGAGGTAAGGGACAAGTTCAAGCAGTCTAATGTACATGCAGAGGAGGGGCAAAGACCGTACAAGAAAACTGCAGACTATTATCACTCAGGAACATAGATGCAAAAAGTCTTAGCAAATTAAATCCAACAATATATAAAAAGATTAATACATCATGACCAAGTGAGCCTTATCTCAGGAATGCAAGGCTGGGTTGACATAACATTAAAATTTTGTATGTAATTCACCGTATTAAAAACAGAGTAAAAAAAAACCCAGCCACATATGATTATCTCAATACATGAAGAAAAAGCATTAGCTAAAATCCAATGTCCATTCCTGATAAAAACCATCAGCAAATTAGAAATGTAAAGGATCTTAACCTGATAAAAAAGGCGCAATAAAAAATGTACAGTTAACCTCATACTTGAAAAACTGCTTTCTTCCTAAATTCAGGAATAAGACACATAATATGTCCTTAAGCAATCACTCCACCTCTGTGTAACTGTTACCCCATCTGTAAAAGTTTGTAACAGGGCTTGGCACAACGTAAGTGCTAACAATGATAATATTGATGACTGCGTAGACTTAGGAGCTGGCAGAAGGGCTAGACCAGAGGTTCTCAACCTGTGAGTCGCCAACCTGTGGGTCACGCCCTCTTTGGGGGTCGAACGACCCCTTCATAGGGGTCCCCGAAGACCATCGGAAAACACATATATAATTACATATTGTTTTTGTGATTAATCACTATGCTTTAATTATGTTCAATTTGTAACAATGAAAATACATCCTGCATATCAGATATTTACATTACGATTCATAACAGTAGCAAAATTACAGTTATGAAGTAGCAACGAAAATAATTTTATGGTTGGGGGTCACCATAACATGAGGAACTGTATCAAAGGGTTGCAGCATTAGGAAGGTTGAGAACCACTGGGCTAGAGAGAAAAAAACAAATCCAGAAACTTCTCTTTGATCCTCAGAGTCAATTACTCCATAGGTTCTGTCTCCACTGCTCACCACTGCCCCAGTGCCTTTTAGAGGTTCAGTCAGGAATGTGGAGTGGTAGGACACAAGATATAACCTTTCTATAACAGCCATAGAATAACACCTTCCCCTGCTTTCCTTCATCCCTTGGATTGGGAAAAAAAAAAAAAAAAGAAAGCAAATGAAGAAAAAGCACTCTAGCCTGGCCAGCGTGGCTCAGTAGTTGAGTGTCAACCTATAAACCAGGTCATGTTTTGATTCCCTGTCAGGGCATATGACTGGTTGTGGACTCTATCCCCAGTGTGGGGCATGCAGGAGGCAGCTGATCAATGATTCTCATCACTGATGTTTCTCTCTCTCTCTCCCTCTCCCTTCCTCTCTGAAGTCAATAAAAATATATATTTTTAAAAAGATACATACATACATTCCCTGGCCTCTTCCTCATAATTTTAATTTACCCTACCTTCCTCCACCCTTTTTCTTTACCCCCACTGTCTGGCTCCTTATACCCACACTAAAAGCTAGAATCCAGATCTCATAGTATCCATTTCTACTGTAGGTTCAAGAATAGTATTTCAGGTACTTTATCATGTTGTACCTAAAAATTGCAATTAAAGAATCCTTAAAAATGTAGGAGCCAGAAACTCCAAAAGGCAGGGCTTTGAAAAAGTAACAGGAAGCAGCCTGTTGTCAACATGAAATTCCTTTGTAATATGCTTTATATTCTCCATGATGTATCTGGTTTTAATATAAAAATATTTATTCAAATCTTTACTTAAAATCATTGTTGTAGGAAGATATACCATATCTGGCTTTGTACACACTGCAGAATGAAACAAACAATCGGAGATGTAAAG